CAGGAATGGATTATGAAAATTTTATCCTGGTAAATGCTTTGCAAATAGTACAGACAAAAAGTAGAAAGAATTGCAAACATTATTCCTTTCATCATTGATCAACATTGTGTCTGTATGCATTAAAATACAGTTAAACCTCTGTATCCTTATTGGGATCAATAATCTTTCTATATTTTAAACTTTCCTCATCAATCTCCATTTTTATTCTAATGACACGTGTATAGAATGAAAATGTCACTTTGATCATGTACATGACATACTGCGCATGTGAAGTAGTGAAGTTGCAGCACACAAGGTGTTCAGTTTATAAATATTGAGCTTGTTAGAAGCGGTTAAGAGTAAAGATGCTCGGAATACACAGGTTTGACTGTAAAATACTTTTTATATATAAGTGTTTTAACATCTAATAAATAATTTACCATTATAAGTTACTACAAAAACTTTTTTTTTGCAAAGTGTTGTGAACATCTTACATATATGAAGTGATCAATTGTGTACCAATAAGAAACGTAATAAATGAGTTTAAAATAAAGTATGGATTATGCACACATATATTCATATATACATAAGTGCCTTTTCTTTTATAAAACAAATCAAATTTAAATCTTATAGGAAATTCGATTTGTTTCATCTATAAGATGTAAACTTGATTTATTATAAAAAAAAAATACATTGAAAAAGATACTCTTCTTACTGCATGAATGAAATATGCTAAGTTTTGACATATAAATTTATTTATATTTAAGTATTATTTTAATGGCAATATGTATATGGTATCAATTTTTCTTTTTTCATTAAAAGTTGACAGAATTTAATGCTTACAAATACAAAAACATTAGTATTATCTGCTATTTTATTAATAGAGTAAAAAAATATATTTTTATAATACAATTTGTCCAACTTTATAGTAATGGGTAATAATTACATTATAGAGTTATACTTAGTCGAGTTCATTTTAGTCGAGCATACCTTCTAGAAATACAAGCGCGTCGACGTTATCAATCGCGCTTTCCACATCGCGTTTTTGAACAGTCCTTTTCTTTGCTTGCGCAGTGTATTTATAAGCTTCCTTCGCAAGCGAGTCGATAAAAAGTTCCTGTTAAAAAAAAAAATTGAGTCAGTCTAATAAGTCGCAAAATTAATTACTTAATACTTTATTATTCACCACTGATTTCGCTGTCAGAAAGACAGCCTCCTGATTGACCAAAGTGACCTCGGGATCCATTTTGATGATTGTCTTTATTCTTCCCAGGGGTAGTCGCAGTAACTTCTCTCGCTGCTCCTCGTCACCCGCGTGCAAGGCATTATCGGTCTCCTCCTGCAAATCTTGCACATTCTCCTCATTAGCATGACTCTCGTTCAATTCGCCCGCTTCACCCAAGTCATCGATTTTTGAATTGTCCATGTTGTATTATATTACACGGCTAATCGCAAATATAAAAATGTCAATGCGATTGTAAAAGGAGTAGCTTATAAGTTTCTTAATCGTAATTCGATACAAGTAAGCGATGATCCGAATTTATATGGTAGTAATAAGTACTGGAACGTATATAGAAACATCACAGGTGGATTACAGCTGATTCTAGCGGTAAAAACGATGACAGATCTACGGACGCAATGCGGAGCATTTTGAAAGTTTCAACAGCTGTAAACTTGACAAGATTGTGCATATATTACACAATATATATAGATTATATGTGCATATATCTGATACAATTGCGTTCGAAAATCTATTCCTTGGAATAAAATAGCGTTTGACTAACCAATCAGAACGAAGGACACATGGCGAATCAGAGCGCCAATAAAACGAAAAATCCTTACTCCGATAACCTAATTCCAGATAAATTTCCGCATTTAGGTTACGTTCCTAATAAATTACACGGAATTACGAATTTTTGAGGAAATTAATCTGTAATTCGATCAAGTGAATTAAAATAAAATATGGTTTTCTTATCGTTAAATCTGTTAGCGAGATCACGCGGACCCGACGAATTCTGGCGCAAACGGAAAATATTTAAGCTCGCCGCGGTAAGTATATTATACAATAGATATATTTTTAAATATTTATCTGACGTATTAATCGTTGATATAAAGCAAAACAAGTAAAATAAAATGGAAGGTTGATGCAGTTTTCATATTACTACTTTTTTTTCACTAACAGCATTACATCGGTAGAAGGAGGAATTGTTATAGTATTGCCATCAGAAATGTGCACAGAGCTCTGGTCTACGCCACTGATGCCAGAAAATTGAAAAAAGTGGATATTACAGAGGTATAGTTTGAACTATAGCAAGATTTATGTGGTCGTGTTTTAGGAGAAACTTTCCTAACTATTGGTCTCTACTTTTAGTTGCGAGAACAGAGATTATCTGCTGCTACAAAGGAACATGGCATAAATTTCACAACTTTTAAAGAGGGATTGGCTAGATGTAACATTCTACTGAATCGAAAAGTATTAGCTGATTTATCAATTTGGGAACCTCGATCTTTCAAAGCTCTTACAGATATTGCTTGCGCAAGAGGGAAGCAAGACCAATTAAAGTCTGTTAGCAATAATGAAGTACCCAAAAGCGTTTTTGTAAGAGGTTTGATTAAATAAGTTCTCCCAAAGATTATGTAAAATAACAAAGATATTCTTTGTTTCTAACATTTATTAAGACTTTATGTTTCCGAATTTCATTTCATTAAATGTATCAATGGTACTGCAGACATAAATTAATTCAAGATAATATATCTTGTAATACTATAAATACATTTAAGAATCACGTATACAATGATAATCAACAACAACAATGTAACATACATCTTTTATAATATTGTATAGCTACATTGCAAGCAGATTAGAGATTGAAAATATATGATAAATATGGATATGACTCTTCTCTTTACAGCAATAGTTTTTTTGTCAGAACAGACTTTATACATTCGTACAACAGACTATAACAATATACAACTTTTTATTTATCCCTAGTAGGAATAAAGTCTTATCTGATATAATCTTGTTAAAATGTCTCATTGACCATTCAAGAACGAGCGTTAACAATTTGTACAAAGTCGGGCTTCAATGAAGCGCCACCGACCAAAAATCCATCGATATCCTTCTCCTTTGCCAGATCTTTGGCGTTGGCCGCTGTCACGGAACCACCATAGATAATCCGCAGGCTTTGCGAGACAGCGGGATTGACATTCTTGGAGAACCACTCTCGTAATTTTTCGTGAACCTCTTGCGCCTGCTGCGGTGTCGCGGTTTTACCCGTACCGATCGCCCATACTGGTTCGTAAGCCAAGACCACGTTGTCCCAAGACTTAATTTTGTCAGCTATTGCCTTAGTTTGCTTATAAACTACTTCTTCTGTCTTTCCCGCCTCGCGCTCTTCCAATTTCTCACCTATACATGCAATCACCTAGAAAACAAAAGTTATTTTCTTGTTTTTATCTTTAATTTGATGTCAGAGATTTAGCGGCATTTTTTGTAGATAATACTTTATTCCTAATTATTACTTACTTTCAATCCTGCTTCCAAAGCATGCGCAACTTTTTCCGCAATTAATTCGTCTGTTTCATCAAACACGTTTCTGCGCTCTGAGTGTCCAAGAATTACCCAGGGAATACCATTGTCCAGAAGCATAGCCGGACTAATCTCACCGGTAAACGCTCCTTTGGACACTTTATATGTATTCTGTGCACTAACGCTAACATTGTTAGGAACAATGGAGGTCACATATGTGAGGTATATTGAAGGGACTCCCACAACGATTTCTATAAATCACAAAAGTTCTATCTTTGAATTATGAAAAATCATCATAGATTAAAGGTTGAATGTGAAACAAAAAATGTTACATAAGTGTATTCGCATCAGACATTACTGTTAGATTCTTGAACAAATCTAAAGATTGACCTTTAAGAATATTAACTCTATTTATTTTAAATATTAAATATTTCATAGTGATTAAAATTTAATTCAAGAGAGACATGTGTGATAACAAAATTTCCTCGAAATTAATTAAAGTACAAAGTTGTTATCTGTATTTAAAGTTCAATTAATTTCTTCTCAATTATAATCTGACGATAATGAGTTAAATTTATATGCATAATTTATATTTAAATTCAACTCATGAATTAAATTTATACAAAATCATACAAATTTATACAAGTCGAGTTCGAATTCGTCGGAGACGAACATATTTCTAATGCATTCTACATTTTATGAAACGCTATGTATATTACATAGGGTGACTGATATCTCACGTACCGACATTCGGATCGAGCGGACCTTTCTTCAGGAACGCGACGATGTCGTTGATCTCGCTCTTTGTACCGTTCATCTTCCAATTACCGCCGACGAAGAATTTGCGCGCCATTTTTCTCGTTCGTACACTTTTTGATGACAGATACACGGATGATGCAAATACTGTAACAGAATTTCTTTCGAGCGATCTCGTCTCTCTGACCTTAACACGCCCGTCAAGGTGAACGAAAACTGGCACGTTCCTCCCTCCCTCCCGATTCTACATCTCTCTTCCCCCCCTCCCTCCCTTCCCCACTACACTTTTTAAATATAAGGTTAAGTTCCTAACCTCGATATTTGTGAATTAGAATTATTATTATCAGCGAGGCATGCTACTTACAGCATTTGACACTATTTGAATGTCGGAGTAGAAGATGATCACGAATTATATGTACGTTTAAGGTATTCGTTAATATCGTTTTTACCAAAAACATCGCGAAGTTTGTTGAAATTTTCAGTAAACAAATGCTAAAGCACTAACCTATGGCACAAAAAATCTTGATAGTTTTATGAGATTTCGCGTGCAATTGCGAGAATTTGCATATAATTTTATCATTAAATTAATCGATTAGTGTAAAATATGGTAGAGCTATCGGCACTTGATGTAGGAAAATTGATTCACTTATTCGTTAAAAATTTGACTTTGCAAGTATCATCGAATTGCAATAAAAAATTGGATAAAATAAATTTTATATCTTGCATAGATATTGCTTATCAAACGAATCTAGATTTGCTGAAAATCGGCGAGAAATCGAAAGATATTGCGATGCACAGCACTTTAGATATTGCCGATGTGCAGAGTGTACGTCATTTTATCGAGACACAGACAAAATTTCTCGACAAGTTTGTTTATCCGAATAATATCCCTATATTGACATGTCATTTTGATCATATTAATAAAAAGATAGTTCAGAAAATCAACGAGACAGATAAAAATATAAAAGAACGCAAGGCGAAATGTTACAAAAACAAATTTTCACAATTGAAGAAACAAAAATTGGAGCAAGTAACTATCGAAAATAATCAGCAAATCTGTGATGCAAACGTGACTAAAATGATATTGATACCAGAACAGATATGTGGAGATTTACTATTCATAAAAGGAACAAATACTTGTTTGAAAGAGAGTAATTTCATAGAGAATATCGCTGAACACACATGGCAAGAGGCAGTATTAAATGAAGAATATCTGCAATTGCATATTAACAATCTAGAATTTATGAAAAATGTGCATGTTACATTATATGTAGCTAATAAGGTGATTTAAATTGTATTGAATCAATGCGTAAGATTATTTTGTATTTACTTAAATATCTCATCTTTATTTTTATACAAATTTCAAAATACTAGAAGATTCTCAATATTAACAATTTTAATATTAACTTTTAATAGTTATAAATTATTAATTAGAATTTCATACATTTATTACTGTAATCTCTCTTATTGTATACTTTTACATATATTCATTTTCTAGACATTGCACAATATAAAGTACCATCCAGATATTCCTCACAATGAGAGAACATCAGATTATCGAGATATATTAATGTTATGTGAACATGCCATTCTGTGTTTGATTGATCCTAGTAAAAAGGCTTTTGTATACATGGAGGATAATCTATCGATTACTATACAAAAGCATTTGTTGCAAGGATTCGTATATCACTTTGATTTTGAAAGGTATTTTTGCGTAATATAGATGATAATACATGTTTATTTATCTCTCCATGTGTGTTATTTTCAGCGATACTAAAGATTATTATTCTGCTTTATTGATCCTAAACAAATGGGCCAAGCCATTGATCAGGCATTCAGATACAACAATATTGCGTGCAATTTCCTCTATACTAAGATGCAGTATCTATGATATTTTAATTTTATCCCATTGTTCAGATAACAATATCCTGTAAAAAAAGAATATATATATATATATATACATACATATATAATATATTTAAAAAA